TCTCTGCATAGCAGACCATATTGCTTTCCTGCCATTAAACTTCGTTCCCTTCACACAGTGATTTATCAGCATCAGTGTAGTGTATAGACATATTGAGAGCATTTTCAAAACAGTATGGTTAAGTATGGTTATAGTTAAAATCTATTGTGAAGCAACTTACTCAATCAAGTCAAACTTCATTCAAGAGTAAAACCTCTTAATGAAGCGGAATGCGACTAGATAATTAGCCCATTAAAATAAATTAAGTTATTAAAGTATTAATGTTCCTGCTATATATCCAATCCACATCAAATTAGGGTTTTTTCCCCAGTCGTTTCACAGAGCATCAGTTTTTTTATTAAAATGCAGATATGTATGTCAGGCGACCCAACACTACACTGCTGACGTGCCATATTTGAACTAATGCAATTTACAGCTCTGTCTGTTAGTAAATTGTGTTTGCTCTGAAGTCTAAATGGCATGTTTCCAACTTTAAATTGAATATTTTTGTATTGATCCCACTGGCTGTTTTTGTTTGCTTATCTATTGCCGCCACGATGGACATGTGTCTGTTGTTGATGTGCTGTGGGTTTATGTGGCTCATAACAGGCACCTTCTTTAGTGTTGGGCCAGGTTAATATTATTACAGAACAATTGAGGAGATATTGAAATTTGAGTGCAGACCACTGAAGACAGATGCAGCCTAATGCAGCAGTGAAGGAAATAAAAATCAATGTGTATTAAAAAGGACACTGCGCAAGGCAATTAACAGTTCCTCTGCTACTTGTTATAGTTTCTGGAGGGTCCGGTGTCATTTGAGAACGTCATTCCATTGGGTCACAACTTTCCATAGGGCTGTGTTTCACTTTATACATTTGCTTCTTTAGAATTAATGACCTAATTTGGAGAAATTTAGCATTGCGTCACTTGCTCTGTGGTGAATGGGTACCGTCAGAATGAGAGTTCAAACAGCTGATAAAAGCATCACAATAATCCACAAGTAATCCACGTGACTACAGTTCATCAATTAACGTCTTATGAAGTGAAAAGCTGCGTGTGTGTAAAAAACAAATCTATCATAAAGACATTTTTCACCTCAAACTGTTGCTTCTAGCTAAAATATGAGTCCAATATCCTTGCTTTCTGCTTTCGCCATTGAAACAGTTGTCTCATCTGAATTAGGACAGACATATCTACAGATCATGTACCATTTAGAAGAGAAATCAGTCCAAAACAGTTCTAAACAAATATATTGATGGATTTTTGAAGTGAGAGGACAACAGAGTGCTCATATTTTGGTCAGAAGCTACAGTGTTTAAAGTTAAAACCCCTTAAAGGAATAATTCACCCTAAAATTAATATTTTGACATCATTTATTCACCCTGTAAGGAATTTAACTCATTAATTCTTGATAAGGGAATTAATCATTAATTTTATTTCTAGCTCAGGGTTTGAAAGGACTCGGATCTGAAAATTCTAAGTCCACCTGTTTAGAACTGATTTCAAATTTGTTATTTTACACCTTATCAGCTACTCGTCCTGTGAGACGTTAATGTCAGTGTATATTACCAATTTGACTATATGTATTTTCCCTGGCCACGGGCTAATACGTTCTTTGATAATTTGTAAGCTCTTAGAGAGGTAACGTGATCTTTGGCAAAGGTTTTAACCTTAAAATTATATGACACCAGACAATGATCCTTTATAAATGAAACATGAATTTTATTGGCTATTCTAGATTACATTAAAACTAAGCTAAAATACACACACACACACATATACAGTTCAGAAGTGAGTTAACGGAGTTGCATGAAGTTTCAAAGTTCTAACTCGTTTTCACGAGTGGTTTTAAATTCAGCCTGAGAGAATTCACAAAGCAGATATTTTGTCTTAAGTTTACTGCTTAAATCAATCATCAGCGTCAGTTCAGCAGATAGAAGATTTTGTTCGTTTACTTGCGTTTTGCTTTGGGTGACAGCTGAAAAGCTGAGTCGTTCCTCGTGGCTACTGGAGGGGATTCCGTGGCTGATTGGCTGTTGATCTGGCGCCGGAATGACGTTTGGATGACGTCCTTTCGGGAAGCCCCTCGTTGGATTGGTTGGTTGCCGGGTTACGGAAGAGGCTTGAGCAGTCCTGCTAAAAGCCTGAGTTTGCCACACTTTGAAGATCGTGTTTCTCTGAAGTGTTTGAGTTCTTAGATGGTCTCGCTGGGCGATGTTACGGCGTGGGGGCGCGTTGTCGCGCTCACCAAGGTGAAAGCCAAAGGTCTGGAGAGAGAGAGAGCGAGCGAGCGAGCAAGACTTGTATTCCTATTTTAAGCAGGCTGACTTTTGTCCAGCCCATAGGTCGTTGTCCAATCAGATGGTGGCTTAGCCACGCCCCATACTGTGTCGACCCAGAATATTGGAGTCATGTGCTGGGGTGATTAGCAAACCTCATGATGGCTGATAGGGGCATAGCAGTGTCCATTCATGTACTAGAAATCCCTACAACCCTCATGTTGGAATTTTGGTAACCAAACAGTTGCTGGTAACCATTGACTTCCATAGTATTTTTTTCTTCTTCTCTATACTATGGAAGTAAGTGACTACCAGCAACTAGGTTACCAACATTCTTCAAAATATTTTCTTCTGTGTTCAGCAGAAACTCAAAGTTTTGGAACAACAGGGTATGTAAGTTATGACAGAACTCTTATTTTTGGGTGAACTATTCCTTTAATGATGGATTTGTTTCTTACAAACAAACAGCTTTACACTTCACAAGATGTTAATTGATGGACTGTAGTCATGTGGATTACATGTGATGTTTTGTATTGGCTGTTTGGAGTCTCATTCTGACTTGCCCCATTTACTGCAGAGGATCCATTGGGGAGCAAGTAATGTAATGCTAAATTTCTCCAAATTTGTTCTGATGAAGAAACAAACTCATCTACATCTTGGATGGCCTGAGGGTGAGTACATTTTGAGCAAATTTCCATTTTTGGGTGAACTATTCCTTTAATATCCATTCTTTACTATTGGTCCAGTAAAGTTCTATATGTTATCATGTTAATTGATTAGGTGTCAAATTGAGCCTTATTTATATAAAAACTGACAGCATGTTTGCAGGGCCGCATTAAGACCTCACTGGGCCCCGGGGCTATGACTTACTGCAGGGCACCCCATCACAATAATGATATATATAGCTTAAAATAGGATTTTTATCCAATCAAAATTTTTGATGCATTGCAATTTCACAATTCTTGCTACCAATTCCAATATCACAAAATAAAAAAATACTAGCCTAAGTAAATGAATTACAATAGAACAAAGAAATTGACCTACAAACACTTAAAGCACTGAATAAGAAATACTATATTGTATAAAATAAATAGACTGAATAGTCTTCACTGAATAATTCAATATACATTATTTTACAAAAGCGATTCGGTCAAGGACAGTGAGTGATTTATGTTTAATTTACATTATTGACAAATAGCAGCAGCAGCTATATTATGGCGTTTTTCCACTGCATGGTACGACTCAGCTCGGCACGGCTGAGTAGGCCTACAGCACGGCTCGGCACGGCTCGGTTTGATTTCATGCAGTATCATGTTCAGATAGTACAGAACATGTGAACAAATGTCAAGTCCATTCAAGTCAATTTTAAAAAGCACGGTACAAATAATGTTTCAATGCAGCTTTAAAGAAATCATGCTTTTGACCCTTCAGTGAATAAATCAAAAGCAACAGTGGGATAAAAAAAAAAAAAACATAAGATGGATTGAAAGCTGGGGGAACTTATCTTCCCATGGCAAGACATATTTAATAAATGTCCAGTGTATAGGTTGTATTATATATTGTACAGTATCTGGTTACACTGTATGCGTAATGTTAGTGTAATGTCATATATTCACTGAATAAATGAAACTATGATATGCAAGACAATATGTGTCAACAAACAACAAATTAAAAAAAAAAAAAAATTCAAATCAATTAAAGTTTTTGCACCTTGCTTCCCCCCCCCCTTCTGTTCCCACAGTTGCTTTGGGTTTATTCACTGAAGGGTCAAAAGCTGTAAAGTTGCATTAAAACAATATTTGTATAGAGCTTTTTAAAACTGACTTGAATGGACTTGACATTTGCTAATATGTTTCTCACAATTTTTCTTTCGTTTCTGTATAGTTTTTTTCATCACTATAATGTCACGGATTGTTCCGTCTATCTAAAACCACATTTACAACACTTGAACAATGGCGTGGAATGTTGATGGATTCTAGAGGATTTACATTTTAGTGGAATTACATAACTTGTTTGGTCTGAAATAAAGTAAAACAGCTAACATTATTTCACAGTAATATATATATATATATATATATATATTTACAAATTATATCTACAAACTATGAATATAACAACTTGTATTGCGATAACCTATGTGCCTTTTCAATAGTGATTTGTAGGTTGACATACATTAAACAAATGAGGAGCATAGATTCCATCACTAGTGTGTCCTAAAGTAGTGTAGGCTAGTGCAGATTAACGTTATGCAAGTCAAATAAGAATTTGTCATTGACCAGGACTATTTCACTTTCCTGTGCATGAGCATCATCTGTTATAATCATAGTGCACTTTGTAGCCCAACATTTTTCCCCCCACAAGTTGCTTAAGCCAAATAAATACTACTGGTAAATCCTATAGGAAAGAGTTCCCTAGAACAGTGGTTCTCAATTCCAGTCCTGGGCTACCACTGCTTTGCACATTTTGTATGTCTCTCTTATCTGACGCCCTCGGTTCAGTTAATGGATCTCCCTCCTAACGAGCTGATGATCTGAATCAGGTGCGTTAAATAAGGGAGACATACTAAATGTGCAGAGCAGTGTGGTACCCCAGGACTGTAATTGAGAGCCACTGCCCTAGAGGAATCCCTGTCTAGTCCAAAGCCCCGCCCCTCGCGCGTGGCGCTGTCCATCACAGTAGTGCTGCTATCTGAAACTCTGCGAGCTCAAGCGCGCGCCCGAGCAGATCGCTGCTGAAGCGCGAGGCGACGGAGGTAAAGTTCTGCCGCTCAGACTCTGAAGGATCACAGTCCAGCGAATGAGGAGTGAATTCACGCACCATGTTCTGCGATTTGAACACTGTCGCTTGAGAAAAGGAAGACTGCTGTAAACTTGCAATCATGTTTTGGACTATTTTGTTGCCGTATTGTGTGACTTTTGTGTTGGGAAATAAGACCGACGAACGAATACCTTTCTTCCACGGCCATGTGTTTGAAAACTCTCCACTTGGCTCAAAAGTGAACGGACTGAGTATCCCGGTGAAGCGCATCGACCCGCAGAGATGGTGCTCCAAGTCCGGGATGCACCTGAAACTCCTGGGGGACCGGAGTGAAGATTTCCACGTCTTCGCCCATCACAAGCGAGGACACATATTACTGAAAACCTCTAACGTTCTCGATCGAGAGGAGCGCGCTGAGTATTTCCTCAGTCTCGCGCTGTGCTGTCAGAGCTGCGCGTCAGCCGAGCGCGTCGTGGCCGAAGTTGCTTCTATTAAAGTGGACGTGCTCGACACGAACGACCACGAGCCCACTTTCCAACATGCAGACGTGAAAATAACTTTGGACGACGCCACGGCCCTGAGGTCGGTGGTGTACACGGTGAAAGCGGAGGACATTGACAGCGGCAAAAACGCCGAGCTCATATACTACGCGCTCCCGAGAAACGGCAGTTTCTATGTAGTGCCCAAAACCGGCGACATCCTCCTCGTGGACTCGATTCTCGGTCTCGCGCAGTCAATAAAGTTCAGCGTGTTTGCGCGAGACCACGGCTGGCCCGCTCGGACCAGTCAGAATATGGATATAGAGATCAGTCCGCGCCAATGGCCAGCTCTTCCTAAGCTCGATAACCGACTCTCGAGAAAGTCCCGCTCCGTGCCGGAGCCTGTGCTTATCACTGTGTCCGAAGACGCGAGTATCGGCTCCGTCATAATGAAGCTGCACCCGGTGAGGTTTCAGTCCGCCAGTTTTGAGCTGATTCACCCGGACGCGGATAACTCTCCCGTCACCGTGATTCGGGACAGCGGAGATTTGGTTATATCAAGGCGGCTCGACCGAGAGACGCAGCCGCTAGTGGAGATAACTGTCAAAGTGCAAGATAAGCGAGGTGAGTGCGCCGTTATTAATCCAAATATCTGTACAATACGACTATATGCCCCGGTCCCTTTCCCACCTGTACAGTACGTGACAATGTATCCAGTGCGTGCTGGCAGATTTCACCTGAACACCCCCCCAAAATGACGCGCGCCTCCATGTACCCAAATCCTCCTCCTCTTCCCTCAGATTGAGCACGTCATATGCAGTTTACCTGATTACAGATGCACAAAGTTCACAGGAATCAAAGTTTAATTATCACTCGCGGTAAAGTCTAACGTGTAATTGACACGAGTCAAGGCGCAGATGAAGCCACGGGTGCACTGCTGCATGAATGACAGCGATCGATTGCACTGTGATGCAGAAATATATTCATACACACCTGGGTGACAAACGCAGAAGCTTACATAAAATGATCCCTTAATTTGTAAACCGTAAACATTCGCATTAGTAGGATTTACTGTGAATTATGCAAATGCTTTGTTTTCAACATCAACAGCATCTTTGCATCCTTTTGACTTGTAACTATAATTTTGGTAATTTCTACTCAATTTTGTGAGAAATTAACTGGATTTTCTTAATCGGTATTTAAATTCAAAGCTGTCAATAAAAAGTGGGATGAACTTAACACTGCCGGTTGGCAGCAATTTTTCTTCCCTCTTACCTTGGGCTTTAAATAATTCCTCTCCATTTAAATGGGTCATTCAGTCAGTGCTCAACAATTTTAAGTCTTTATGTGTGTTTGAGGAGAAAAGGAGGGAATTTGGTAAGGTACTCACATGGGCCCTTTTACAGAATCATATCTTACTTCTGTATTCACCTGTAATTTGCGTCCTTTGCGTTGCAGGTGAACCCTGCGCATCAAGCTGAATTTAGGCATGAATCCGGGGTGATTTAATCCTTTTTGAGTTGGAGATTGTGCTCTACTTTCCTTCATCTGCTCGCATTAGCTATGTAATCCCATCTCATTCATTTTCTCATTTTGGGGATTTAAGACTGGCAGCGCAGTTAGAGCAAACTGCAGGGAAGATGAGGCATTTAGTGGAATGTGCTCAAATTTGAGCAGTTGACCGGGCATGATTTAGCAGCCTGTGATTTAATTAGTGTTGGTTTGTTAATCAGGGACTTTCTGCTTGCTGGACCTGCGGCTCTGGAGCTACTGTTTTTTTTCCCTTGAGTCCATGTTCCTAGCATATGTTCAAGGGCGCTTGTTTGTGCGTGTGGGGATGTTTGCAGGTCTGTGAATGCTGTGTGTGGCCCTCTGTGAAAGCTTAGCACAAACAATGAGGCCAAACAGCTGGTTTTAATCAGGAGTGAGAATAGCGTCTGCTGACCTCACATTTGCCTTTGGCTCTTTGGAAGTAATGAGCTTTCAGGTAACCACATTTATTTAAAAAAATTGGGATTTTTTTCCCCATGTGTATTAAAGATATTTATATCTTTCCTCTTCTTTAGCTTTGAATATTGCATTTTTTATTTTTCATCATGCTCTTATCAATACCACAGTGTAGAACACATCATATTTCCTAAGGGAATGAAGTCAAAATTCTCTTTTGAATTAGCTGAACATCCTTCATTATTGAAATTCATAAAGTGAGAATTTATCATTTGAACAAATCTGTAAACATACACGCTGAAAAAAATGAAATAAAATCATGAAACGACCGCAACCTTGCAGAGCAATTGATGTCATCCTCCATGGCAAATTTAAAACCTCACAGCTATACTTTGATCTACGTATTCAATCATTAATATGCAGAGAAGATGAAAACAATCTAAATGCACTGGGTAGGCCGCTGATTCTCTCAAGTACAACATTCTCCTCCAGAACAATCAAGGAAGTGACAATGTCTGGAGGTGAATGCAGAGTGTCTTCATTATCTCGCACTGCTGTCAAGATTGCTGAATGTTAACAACGTTCATCTACCTCTCTTTTCTGTACTTTTCTCTTTTGTCTCACTTTTGTGTGCTAACTGGATCATTGTATAGAGTACCATTTAAAAAGAATGCTTTTTATTCAATGATTGAATTGATTTGATACATGTGTCACTAACATCTCACATTAGTTTGTATGTATAACAGGGTTTCCACAGGTCCTAAAAAGTCTTAATTAACCCTTCTACAAATTAAGGTCTTAAATTCATAAAGTCATAACATTAAATGTCGCATGCACTGCAAAGAATCTTCATCAGTATTTTTGTCTTGTTTTCAAGTTCAAATATCTAAACATCCTTAAATCAAGATACATTTACTTGGGATGCAAAATAAAGATAGTTGAAGTCTTGATTTATGATAAATTGAAAAAAATTAATTTTATTCTTTATTTTGTTTCCCATTTGAATTTAGTTGATTATTCTGGCAGATTTGTTCTTGTTTTAGTCGTTAACAACATTTTGATCAGTTTCACACAAAACGACATCTTATCTTCTGTCATTTTGCTTTTCACTGTGTCTTGATTTTAGAATATTTTTTAGAAGACATTTTACACCGGAAAATGACGAAAATACTGAGGAAGAATTTGCATTGTGATAGAATTCTGTTGTATTTTCAAACTATTGCTAACATAACTCTTTCATAAAACCCTGTATAAGCCAAAAATACTTGCAACATTCTACAGTATTTTTAATAATTTTACAAACATACCAAAAAAAAAATCACATTAATTTTACAGAACAAACTGACTGCTGTGATTGCCAGATTACTAATAAAGTGATGTAATTTTTATATACCAGTCTACTAAATCAGATTTGTACCTTAAAATGTACTTACAACTACCGTAATAATACAGGTGTTTTAGAAGAAAACCATTGTAAGTGGCCTGTCCATAACTTGGCCAATACACACAAAGCCAAAACACCATCCGGGCAAAATGGGAATGTCCTTTTACTATTTTTCGTAGATTGACTCTTAGGGTTTACGGTAACACTTTACAATAAGGTTCATTAGTTAACATTAGTTAGGTTTTACTTATTTATAGTAAAACTTTATAGTTTACTTATTTATAATTTTTCACCATATGTGGAAAGGCAACTTGCAGTTAACCAATCAACAGGTTTATACTATGTAAGTTTTACAGAAAAAGACTAAAATTGCTAAACATTTTTTTATAGTACACTGTTCAACATTTTGATTTTAAATCTAAATGATTAGATTTTACATTTGCATTTTTACAGTGCAAGTATACATAACTGATATGTCTGTGTCTTTGTAAATCTTCATGAATGTAAATTATTCCAGATATCATCTCTCTTCCTACAAATCACTCCATACATCTTCTTTTTCCGTGCATGTTAATGTGTTGTGTCTGTAGAATCACTGAGCGAGTCTGAGTAGTTTGACCAAACAGTCCAGTCTGAGTTGTTTTTCTGGGTCTTTCCTTACTTTCCCCCCACATTTCTTTATTATCTTTCTAACTCTCCACCTCACTTTCTATCTTTTTCCTCATAACCCTTCAGCTTTCTTGTTAGAGCATGTCTGATACTGCCAGTCTTTGTGGTATCAGTGCTGTAGGATCAATTAACCCCTGCATGCTGATAGTTTGTGTGTGCTTGCGTACAGAGCCAGTATTTGTGTGTATACCAATGACAGACCTCGAATCCCAATCTCAACAGTGCAGTATTTATACCTTGTCGGTTGTCTTGCTCAAGCCCTCTTTCTCTCTCAATTACAGATGATGGAGTCGAGCTCCTTGTAATTCAGTGCAAGTTGTCAGATTGAAAAGAGATTGACACTAGCCTATTCTACCCTCTCTCTCTTGCAGCTGGTCTGGAACATTCTGCTCTTAGTTATTTCCTTTGTCTATATTTCATTAAGGTGACAGACATGCATTTTCAGACATGCACACACATCGCCATTATCCTCACATGTGGAATATGGCCCAGGTGTCTGAAGCCATAGTTTTTGCATTACACCAGCAAGCAGGTGTTTTGCACGGGAGATTCTGAGCCCCACTCTGGTAATGGCCCTAAACACCCACATCAACAGGGCTTAATTTGAATGACAGGCTCAATGTTTTTCTGGGTCTTGACCAGCCTTCAATACTGAAAATCTGTTAATCTGGTCAGCATGAGCCAAAGAGTTACCACAGCATATGGGGAGCTTCTTCCGCCAGGGACACAGAGGAACTAGCAAATGCTTCACAGAGTCAGACGCACACACATAGACTCAAACACTCCAGCAAAAGCCCTAAAACTGTGTGCAAAACCATCTCTCTAGTAGACAACACACACACACACACACACTCACACACACACACAGAGACACAGACATATATACTTCCAGATAACCCTGGTAACACATGAGTACACTTAATTTTTCTTGCAGTGTCTGGCGTGTATATATATATATATATATTTACATTTACATTTAGTCACTTAGCAGACGCTTTTATCCAAAGCGACTTACAAATGAGGACAGACATGCACGATATTTTCACCAACTGTCACTTTCTCTTTTTTTCTAATAGTAGAAACTTAAAGTGCACACAGATGATGTCTCAGTGGTTTTCTGTCTATCTGTCTGTCTGTTTTCTATCTTTTTTTTTTTTTTTTTAAAAGAAATATTGCATTCATTTTGCAGATCAAAGCTACTGATAAATGAGCAACATCACACCCAAATGTTTTTCTTACTTTACTACTTACTTTACAAAAATATTTTTTGGTTTGAATGTCCAACTTCCTCTATAAAGATGCTGCTGACCCACATTCAAACCAAAGGATGTGTGTACATAAGCATCTAGATAGCTCTGAAGTTTTATTTTTATAAAATTATTTTTGTTTATTAAATTTTTTGAGAGTAGTCCTAGTTTTATTTTCAGATAAAATAGTCCAAGAACACACCAGATTCAGCTGCACTGTTATTTTTAGAGTTAAGAGGAAGGGTTAGAGGTTTAATGGTTGTCCTCATGGCAGGTAGGAGGGACAGGATCACCAGAGAGAGAGAGAGAATGAGAGAGCTGCTGGTGTTCGCGGTTGATAATGTTTCGATTTGTCCACTATCCAAGGGATGGAGATA